ACCTAAACAAACCGTGGTACATAAAGTAAACCATTACATTTTTTAAAAGCCTTATGATTACGTACCAGATATTCGAAGAAAAAAAAAACCCAAGCTACTTATAATGTTAACAATAAAATCTGCCGTTTGTGCAGGAACTGATGTCAGAGGTGGTGCAGAGGAGACAATGAGACCTCCATCGCTGACCCAGTTTTCTGATCTTCAGCCACTAGCGCCTAATTCTGCTCCACATTGTCCTCAAGACCACTTTCCCATGAGATGAAATCTGCATGGTCTAAAGCAGTGATTCTCAAACTTTTGTATTGGTGACCCCTTTCACACAGCAAGCCTCTGAGTGCAACCCCCCCTTAAATATATTAAAAAGTGTTTTTAATTTATAACGCCATTATAAATGCTGGAGGCAAAGCGTGGTTTGGGGTGGAGGCTGACCGCTCGTGATCCCTCACGTAATAACCTCACGACCGCCTGATGGATCCTGACCCCCCAATTTGAGAACCCCTGGTCTAAAGCTCTAAAAACTCAGATCCCCAACCTCTAGCAATTGCTATTTTATAAACACTCTACAGCTATATAATAATTTATGAGAGAGAAGCAGAAGTGACTTAATTGGGGTGGGAAACAGTAACTCACTGACAATGAATTTTTTTAGATTTGTTCTAGAAAATTACTTTGCTTTTTACTAATCATTAATATTAAAATGGAGGCTGGCTATTTTTAAGATAATACTTAAATGTGTTGTCCACTTGAAGTCAATCATTTCTACAGCAGAAGCTGATTTGTCTGTAATGTGGGAAAGGCACTACAAATAGTTAAAAATGCCCTCAAAAAATTAGATAGATTTGGTCAGAGAAAATGGGTTGTCAATAGTGTAATTTTATTCCCTCCATAATTATGTTCTCTTAGGCATGGGAAAAACAAGCTCATCAATTCAGTTTAAAAAAAGTGACAAACTTTGAAGGTAAAAGAGAAAAATAAAATATCCATGAAGTTGCACTACTGATTCATACAGTTATTGTGGAAAAGTAACTGTCATACAGCAGACACTTTTTCTGAAGTGAGTAGTTTTTTTTTTTTTTTAATTAAAGTGCCATGTTAAGAAATAGGTGGTTGATTATTTTTAAAAGCCAGCAGCCATTTTTGATAAAAGAAATAAAATATCATTTACTATATTTTTGCATTTCTGAAAAAGAATAAAGCAACAGGCTAAAGAATATGCAATTTACAAAAAAAAATTTCCTACTCAGCTGCCAAATTGTACAAAGTTTCTGCAGAAAGTTTACTGCTTTCCTCCCCATTTGTCTAGTCATTTAACATCCCCTCCCATGTACAAAGAAGTTAGACACCCAATACTTACTTGTTGTGAAAACAAACAAAAGAACTGATATAAAAATTGTGGTGTAATAAAGCATACATTCTGAAAAACAAAAATGAAAGGGATGGTTAGTCCTAGAACGTATAAGCCCCTCACACTCAGCCCTGAAAAAAATGACTTCTATGAAGCTGGCATGAATACATGGAGTGAGTAAAGCATTCCACTGTTTCACTTGGGAAAGCAAAGTAATAAGCTTCACTCTGCACCAGATCTTGTTTTTGAATTTTCAATTTAAATATAATCAGCTTACATCTACTATTCTCACAAGAATCACCTAAGATTCCATATATTTATGAGAATAATTTACACCAATATAAACACCTTTCCCACAGGTATAACTGTGTCCAGTCTCAGGGGTTGTACTGGTTTAACTATATGAAAAAAGGTTTAGAAAACCCAGCCTACAAGGAAAAAAACTGGGCATGCTTACTTCTGAGAAAAGACTACTGACGGGGGACCTGATGATACTCTTCAAATATGTTAAGGGCTGTTATAAAGAGACTGTGATCAACTATTGTCCATGTCCATTTAAGGTAGGACAAGTAGTAAGGGGCTTAATCTGCAGCAAAGGAGATTTAGGTTAAATATTAGGAAAAAAAACTTTCTAACTCTAAGGGTAGTTAAGCTCTGGAATAGGTTTTCAAGAGGTTGTGGAATCCTCATCATTGGATGTTTTTAAGAATAGGTTGGACAAATGCTTGACAGGGATGGTCTAGGTTTTCTTGGTTCTGCCTAAGCACAGGGGGTTGGACTTAATGGCTTCTCAAGGTCCCTTTCAGCCCTATATTTCTATGATACAGGTTTCTAAACAGATATAGGCATAGCGGTACAAAAACTGTGTGTGGGCTTGTCTATACTTCCAGCTAAATCAGCACGTCTGTGATCGATCCAGCAGTGTCGATTTAGTGGGTCTGGTCAAGACAAGCTACGTTGATGGCAGAGCACTCTCCCATCAACGTCTGTACTCCACCTCCCCGAGAGGCGGAAGTTAAGTCAGCAGGAGAGCGTCTCCTGTCGACACAGCGCAGTGTAGGCACCGCTGTAAGTCAACCTAAGTTACATAACATATATAACTGAAGTAGCGTAACTTAGGTTGACTTACAACGTTAGTACGGACCAGGCCTATGTGTAGACAAGTCCTTGTTGAAAGATGTGAGAATAATAAAAACAAAAAATCTCTATTTCCACCCCAGCTTGTTTACTTGGGCATTTAACAGCACTTTGTGCATTGTCATTTTCACTCTAACTCCTCTATAGTCAGTGTCCTGGTGGTGTGGCACTTTCACACAGCAAGAGAGGAAAGAAGAGGTTACTTACCTGTAACTGGATGTCCTTCGAGATATGTGGTCCCTATCAGTATTCTACTGAAGGTTATGCGCATGCACCATGTGCCCAGAGCCAGAGCTTTTCAAGGTAGTATTGCTCTGTGATCTGCACATGCGCCCTTGTATTGCCTTGTGGTTTCGCCTGAGGTGATAAAGGGAGGGTCAGACCGACTGTCTTCAGTTCCTTCTTCACCACAGACCTACAGATCCACAGCAGAGGGGAAGGAGGGTGGGCTTGGAATACAGATAGGGACCACGCATCTAAAAGAACCTTCAGTTACAGGTAAGTAACCTCCTCTTCTTCAAATGCTAGTCCCTATTGTATTCCATTGAAGGTGATTGACCAGCAGTACCTAGAGAGAGGAGGGTGCGAGGCAGATGGTGGAATCATATAGCAGAGGACCGCTGTGCCAAATGAGGCATCCATCATAGAATCACATCCCAGAGCACAGTGAGAGGAAAAGGTGTGTACTGAACTCCATGTGGCCACCTTACATATGTCCAGAAGGGGCATGTCGTGAAGCGTGGGTGTGGTTGATGCTTGCGCACTCATGGAATGGGCTTGTATCCCATCTCGGGGGAGCGCTCTAACAATTAATAGCAGCGTGTAATGAACCCTGAGACCCACTTAGAGGTTCTCTGGGTGGAAATGGCCTGTCCTTTAATTCTCTCTGCTATGGTGACAAATAGCCTGGGAGACTTCTGGAACTGCTTTGTCCTTTGTAGATAAAAGGCTAGGGCCATATGCACATTGAGGGAAGGAAGCTGCCATTAATCATTTGAGGCATGTGGTTTTGGAAAGAAGGTAGTCAGATGTTGAGGTGGAATTGGGAAACCACCTTTGGCACAAACTTGGGATGCAGTCGCAGTGAGATCTTGTCTTCATGGAACATGGTAAAAGGAGAGCTTGCCATCATGGCGCTCAGTTCACCAACCCTCCTTGCTGAGGTAATAGCAACAAGGAAAGCAACCTTCATAGAGAGGAGAGAGAGGGGGCAGGAGGCCAGCAGTTTGACGGGAGCTTTCATTAAAGAGGTAAGAAATAGCTGAGGTCCCATTGGGAAACAATAGGCTGAATGAGTGGATATTTATGCAAAAGGCCCTTCCAGGATTGGGCAGTCAAGGGGTGGGTAAAAATTGAATGCCCTTCCACTCCAGGACGGAAAGCATTAATGGTGGCTGCATGCACTCTGACAGAGCTGAGAGCACATCCCGAGGTTTTCAGGTGGAGGAAATAGTTTAAGAGCATGGGGATGCGCACAGCTTCGGAGGCCTAGGAGGTGAAGTGTGTCCATTTGGCCTGATAGGATCACCTCATGGAGTCCTTTTGGCTATTCGAGAGGATGTCTTGCACTGTCAATGACCATTCTCGTGCTAATGGAGGTGTCCATCCAAAACCCATGCTGTCAGGTGTAGAGTCCATGGATCTGGATGTCTGAGTCTGATGTTGTGTTGTGTCAGCAGTTCTGGAAATGTCTGTAGCGGGAGTGGAGGTTATTTAGATATGCAGAAAAGAGGGAACCAGAATTAGTGATGCCAGAACGGAGTGATCAGAATGGCCGTCGCTCTCTCCTGCCAGAGTTTGTGGAGGATGAGGGGTAGGAGTCTGCGTATGGGTGAAAGTGTAGTTCGCCCGGTCTGACCAACTGATGACCAGAGCATCGCCCAGTGAGTGAGCACCAAGTTCTCCCCGGAGCAACATTGGGTGCACTTGGTGTTGGTGTGTGATGCAAAAAGGTTTCTGATTTGTGCATCCCAGCGACTAAAGGTACATGACATGATAATCATGGACAACTCCCATTCATGGTCAGTTGCAAAGTTCCTCCTGAGAGAATCTGCAGTCGTATTCTGGGGGCCAGAAGATAGGCTGCTGACATGTGCAATGCACCATTCCCAGAGGTGAACTGGCTCCATACAAAGCACTGGGGACCTTGTGCCCCCTTGTTTATTTATGTAGTATACTGTGGTGGTGTTGTCTGACATGATGAGAACATGGCAATAGCAGATAGCTGGTAAGAACACATGGCATGCTTTGCATACTGCCCCAAGGTTGGGTATGTTTATGTGCATCCTGGTCTCCTGCGTGGTCCAGATGCCTTATGTCATGTGATCTCCAATGTGAGCACCCCTGCCTGCAAGTGACGTGTCCGTTATGACTATCACAGTCAGCGAGGATGGGAAGAAGGGCATCCCAGAGCAGACTTGTAGTGGGTCTGTCCACCACCGAAGAGAAGAGATGACCTTTGAAGGAACATTGAATATGGTGTCCATAGACTGGTGCATAGGAGAATAGACTCTTTGCAGCCATAGCTGTAGACAGGGAAGCTGCAGGTCAGCAAAGATCATGACGTATGTGCCTGCCATGTGACCTAGGATGGAAAAGCAGGTCCTGTCCAAGACCAAAGGGTTGGAGGTTATCAGGGCTATTTGGTCCGGTAGCCTCTGGAATCTGTCCTGTGGCAGATAAGCTTGCACGAAGGCCATGTTGATGTGAGCTACTATGAATTCACAGAACCGAGTAGGATGCAAAGTTGATTTTTCGATATTGATGGTCACTCCTAGAGAGGAGTAGAAGAAGCTGGGACGTCGATGCTTGAGCTTCCTCTTTGGACTGGGCAGCCAGCAGTCAGTCGTCCACATAAGGGAAGACAAGGATTCCTTGACATCGTAGGTGAGCCACTTCCACAGAGAAAACCTTTGTAAAATCTTGTGGGGCAGTGGTGAGCCTGAATGGGAGAACCCAGTATTGGAAATGTCGATGACCCACTTTGAACCTCAGGAACCTTCTGTGGGTCGGATGTATGCCAATAGGGAAGTAGACATCTTGCATGTCTAGAGCCGTAAACCATCTGCCTTTTTCCAGTGAGGGAATGATGGCTGCAAGCATGACCATACGGAATTATGGCTTGCGAATCGAATGTTGAGGTGTCGGAGATCCAAAATTGGTTCCATCCCCCTTTCTTCTTGGGTACCAGAAAATAGTTGGACTATAACCCTGTGTCCTGAAAGGCTGCAGGAACTGGCTCCACTCCTCCTCTCTGCAGAAGGGAGTCCACTCTCTAGGGTAAGAATACTGTTGTGAGAGAAATCTCTGATAGGTGGTCAGGGTGGGGGATGTGGAGGTAGTGTCAGCATAAACTCCACAGTATGCTCCATCGAACGATGTCCAAGACCTACTTGTCTGTTATAGCTCTCCAAGCTTGTAGAAAGAGTTTGAGACAATCCCTGAAAGGGGTGGAGAGTAAGAGCTCGGTGTACGGAGTGGTTGATGGCTCTCTAGGCGCACTAAGAAATACTGCTTTCGCAATGACTTAGTATGTTGTGCAGAGGTCTGCGCTGCCAGAACAGTTGACGAATTCTGTGTACCTTCGGGTGCTTCTGAAAAGGATCGTGGGCTCATTGGTGGGGGGTAGGGGAGGATAGCTCAGTGGTTTGAGCATTGGCCTGCTAAACCCAGGGTTGTGAGTTCAATCCTTGAGGGGGCCACTTAGGGATCTGAGGCAAAATCAGTACTTGGTCCTGCTAGTGAAGGCAGGGGGCTGGACTCGATGACCTTCCAAGGTCCCTTCCAGTTCTAGGAGATAGGATATCTCCATTAATTAAAGCAGGACAGAAAATCATTGAATTCTCAGTAAGAATCAGTACCATGGGGAAGGAATCTCCTTTGTTTTATCCTAGTGAGGCAAATAGAAAGGAGCATAAATGCTGCCAAATTAA